ATTAATCAAAAGTGGGTTTTAAGAAATTTATAAAATTACGTTCGTAATGGTGTTGAATGTTTAAATCAAATAAGTAGTTAAATCACAGAAGTACCATTCTTTTATACTTTAAAAACTATTCAGAAAACAAAACTTCAACTTCCGTGGTGTTTGTCTAGGCTTTTTTCAACTGTAAATATATTTTTCTTTATAATTGTTTGGCTTGTGGATTTAACTATGTAAATTATACATAATAACTTCAAATGCCTTATTAATTTTTAATGTTGGCATAGAAAACGATGACGCCTTGATGCACAATTTACTATTTTGTTTTGGTTGGTTCTATGGGTTACCAAATAGGCTAGCGTAAAAATATGTTTAAAACACTATATTTAGAGAAATTTTCCCAGGAAAGGCCCAAGACCCCCCCCCCCCCCCACATGTTCGTTAGACCTAAATATTGCACCCCCTGTTTCAAATCCTGCGAGCGCCCATGTTTACACGAGCGACAAATCTAGCTGACTAGGCTTGACTAGGTCCGCATGACTAGGTGGTGGATCACAGGTTGAAATGGATCCGTCACACAAGTGTACGGCAACGGCGATCAAGCCGCGATCAAGCTTGGTGTCGCAAACCATCGCCAGGCCCTGCTTCCTAGCCTAGTGTCGCGACTCATCGCAGCTAGCTAGTCAATGTGTGTCACGGTGTAGCAGTACACGTAGCCATATGAGAGCGTTTACACGAGCGGTCAGTCATCACTCTGGAGCTCACATATTTGTCGTTGTTTTCATTGTTCGCAAGTGATGGATACGGAGGAAATGACCGTGTCTCTGTAACACTTGTCTTTCAAAATACCATGACAAAAGTAAGAGGACGTACAAATGCATTATTTGTTCAAATTTGAAAGTTCTAGGCCCAGAAAGAATCATTTGTAAAATATTTAAAACTCAGCCCGGTAAAGATCCCAACATTTATTTCTGGTTTTCATGTTCAACATCCTGGGATGTTTTTTTATTATACAGCAACTTTTGTATATAATTCGTAAACTCCCTTTAAAATATTCTAGGAAAGAAATGAGCTTTTGCTTGTTTTCTTTTGGAAATAAGAAGTATCATTGGGGAGGTAGTCTCAGTACCAACAAACCCGGTTAATTGGGAGTGTACTGGATTTCCTTTTGAGAGTTTTCCTAGTTTTTAAAACACAGCTTAACAGACTACATAATTAGAAATGTCTGAAAACCAGGCTATGACATATCCTATGTAGTGTTGGAATTTATTTATAATCTTGTTCCTCATTGCCTTCTTGGTACTAAGTTAGAAGCAGCTGTCATGTGTTAATTATATGCCATGTGATTGCTATGTTTATTAATTCGTTGTAAATAAACATCACTTCCACTATGGACTTTAGAAACCATACTGTGTAGTCATTTTACTCCTATTATTATAAAGGAAAATCAATTATAAACAAGTGGTTATGGGCCCAGTTTCACTTTTATTGTAACTTGTTCTCTGTGGCCTATTTTGAACAGTTTAATTTTTGAAGAGAAGTGTTTAAGAAATATAGTAAATTTCATTGGATGAACACTTAGGCTATTAATTACTATGATGGGAGACAAAGTTATATACTCCACATCAGCCCCTGGAATTTCTAAGTTGAAAGGGTCAGCCAACTATGCCAGTTGGAAATTTGACATGAAGATGGCTCTAAAGTATGAGGGATTGTGGAATTGTATTGAACCACGAAGGACTACTACAGAGACGACACCGCTAACTGTGGATCCAGACAAAGATGAGAGGGCACTCGCCAAGATTGCCATGCACCTGGAGGCAGCTCCAAAACTACATATCAGGACGGCCACATCAGCGAAGGAAGCGTGGGACATTTTAGCAAAGCAGTATGAAGTCAAGAGCACAAACAGGAGAATATTCCTGCTGGACCAGCTTTTAGATTTGAAGTTGGAAGTATGCAACAGCATGAGTGAGTATATTTCTAAATTTCTTGACCTCAATGCTCATCTCGCTGACATAGAGAAACCCGTGGATGATGAAATGAAGGCGTGTCTACTTCTAAGAGGTTTGCCTGAGTCTTACAGGGTATTTAGGATAGCAGTCGAGAGTACAGATAAAGTAGAATATAGTAAAGTACTAGAAAAATTAAATAGCATGGCTGAAAAGGATACCACTGAGTCCTCTGTAGTATTTTCAACTTTTAAAAGCAATACTGGGAAGCCTTTTCTATCAAAATCAAATACTAATCAAGCTAATTCTAATAAAAGCTCAAAGACAAGGAAACCTTTTATTCCTACTTGTTACAAATGTAGAAAGGCAGGCCATATGATAAGGGATTGTCCTGAAAATAATCAAGCTAATATCAGTAATAGCTCAAAGATAGGGTCAATTTCCAAAATTGGTAAGTCAGATGGTAAAGACAAAAATAAAAATGTAGGTTGGATAACTGCCCTGAATGTAAAGGTAGAACCTGAAAGCTGGTACTTAGACTCGTGTTGTTCTGACAATCTTTCTAAAAGCAAAGAAAGTTTTCAAACGTTTAACTCGAATGAAGGAGTTAAAGAGGTCACTGTCGCTAATAATACCAAAATTTACTCTGCGGGTTCTGGGAAAGTTTCTGTGAATCTTAAAAACTTTGGTGAGAGAGTGATATCGAATGTGACGTATGTACCAAGTTTATCTACAAATTTGCTACCTGTGAGCAAAATAGCTAGTAAAGGGCAAGTTTTAGTTTTTGATGACAAAGGGTGTAATATTTACATAAAAGATGGGTTTTCAGTAAGAGGTGAAATTTGTGGAACTGGAACAAATGTAAACGGACTGTATCGGTTGGATACAGAGAGTAAATGCAACATTGATCCAAATGATGGAAATTTTGCTATGGCTACTCAAGTTGACCAGTCAGTTAGTGTGGACCTTCACAATTTATGGCACAGAAGGTTGGGTCACTTGAATCATGTTAGTATGGGTGTTTTGAAAAAGGGGATGGCTTTGGGTATCGATTTTCCTAATCAGAGGCCAGAATCTTGCATTCCCTGTGTAGAGGGGAAACACTCCAGAGAATCTTTCCCAACCACTCCAAGTAAGAGAGCTGAGGCAAAACTAGAGCTAATCCATACGGATGTCTGTGCGCCTATGAATGTTCAGTCTCTTCAAGGTAATCGCTTCATGCTAATATTTGTTGATGACTTCACCAGAAAGACCTTTGGTTATTTCTTGAAATCAAAGGATGAAGTAATTGTATGTTTTCTCAAGTTTAAGACTTTAGTTGAAAATCAGACCAACCAGACTATAAAAACTGTTAGGTCAGATGAACGCGGGGATTACATGAATGCGAGACTAGAAGAAGTGTGTAATAGATTTGGAATAAGGCACCAGGTTACTACTCGATATAGTCCTGAGCAGAATGGGGTAGCAGAGCGTGCAAATAGAACTATTATTGAAAAGGCTAGAAGCATGCTAAGTGACTCAAATTTGAGCAAGGGTTACTGGCAGTATGCTGTGGAGGCAGCTATTTATCTTAAGAACCGAAGTCCTACAAAAGCTGTTTTTGGAGTCACTCCACAGGAGAAATGGACTGGATCGAAAGTGGACCTCAGTCACCTTAGAGTTTTCGGGTGCATAGGCTATGTGCATGTGCCTAAGGAGAGAAGGACCAAATTGGACTATAAGAGTGTTCCTCACATTTTTGTAGGTTACAGTGAGGATGTCAAAGGTTACAAATTGGTCGATCCTGAGTCTCCCCATAGATTGATTTATTCTAGAGATGTCAAGTTTTTTGAAAACTTATTTCATAATGGGCGTGAAGAAAATAATGGTGATGAAACTATTCAACCAGTCGAGACTTTAGTAAGCATCCAGACCGCCAAACTCGATGAACCTTCCAGGAATCCTGAGGCAGAAGAGGAGAGCTTCATTCTTGATAATATCAACATTGAGCAAGATGATGACGATGTTGGAACTGGAGGATCCACTGAAGGGGATTTGGGAAATGATGAGGAAGGTGTTGAAATTAATGTTGGAAGTAGGTACCCTCTAAGAGTAAGAAAACCTAAAATGTTTCCTGATTTTGTTACCTACATGGTTACCTGTGAGGATCTAGAGCCAAGTAGTTATCAAGAGGCAATAGAAGATCCGAATAAGAATTTGTGGAAGCATGCTGTGGAGGAGCAAGCTGATGAAGAACCTCTACATGGTTTTTTTGATGCCAGTCATGAAAACAACTTTGATGGGAAAAGTTGTACGGGATATGTTTTTAAACTGAGTGAAGGACCTGTGTCTTGGGGAAGTAAGAAACAGAGATGTATGACTGATTCCTCAACAGAGTCAGAGTTTGTAGCAATGGTTCAGGCATGCAAGCAAGCAATGTTTCTGAAGCACTTGTTGGAAGAGCTGGGAATATTTCTTGAGCATTTGCATTGTGACAACATGCCAGCAATGAAGATTTTGCAGAAGAGAACCGTGAATGACAAGACCAAACATATAATTCGTAAACAGTTATTTGTCAGAGACATAATCAAGAGAAAACTAGTTGTGCTGAATTACGTTCCAACTTCCAGGATAGTAGCGGACATTTTGACAAAATCACTTGGCAAATCAAGCATGATGGTTTCATGACCGACCTTGGTCTTACCCCAATGAAGGATCAAGATTAAGGAGGGGTGTTGGAATTTATTTATAATCTTGTTCCTCATTGCCTTCTTGGTACTAAGTTAGAAGCAGCTGTCATGTGTTAATTATATGCCATGTGATTGCTATGTTTATTAATTTGTTGTAAATAAACATCACTTCCACTATGGACTTTAGAAACCATACAGTGTAGTCATTTTACTCCTATTATTATAAAGGAAAATCAATTATAAACAAGTAGTAGATCCACTGTATCACACAATCTCTAACTTATAAATTATACTAAAAAAAGTAATATGCTATTACATTTAGGTTTTTTTTAATGTTGTAAGCCATGACTTACTTTTGATACCACATCATTAATAACAGTTAGTTTATTTATAGAAAGAAAAAAAGAAGAAAGAAAAGCCTTCAGAAGGTGAAAAGAAAGCAAAAAAGTCTTCACTGAAAAAAGAAAAAGTCCAGGAAGAACCCAAAACCAACGAAGCTCGACCGGAAGAAAAGACACCAACCGAGGCCCAAGAAGTAAAGCAAATAGAATTAGAGGAACCTCCTAAACCAGAGGTCAACCAACCAGCTCAGGAACAACCGATGCAAGACCCTACAAGTCATGACGAAGAACCAAAGCCTAAACCACGGAGAAAACCATCAAAAAGAAGTCTGGAGCTTGAAATAGATGATGAAAAACTTAACCAGCTGAAAGAGGTGAGCCTAATTGTGTACCATACCGTACTGGGTGTAGTTGTCTCAATTACGTCCCTTTCACCGACTGTTTTAACTAGTATCAAACAGCAACTTGTAACATTTCTAAACATATGAGATAGACTGCAAGTAAAAGCTTTTATATACGGGGTGAATCTGAATCTCGTAAATCTCAAATCCAAACATTAGCTGTATTTTTTCAGTTTTTTAGTTATCAACTTAAATACAGTGCGATTGAAAAGTCCCAGAACGGTGTAATACAGTATATTTTTTACCATTATAGATAAAGTAACAAAACTTGACATATCAATAATAACCATAAATGCCTACTCTTTCAAGCTATTATTACTTTTTAGCGAATTTCCCATATAGGGAATATTAGCAAATTTCCCATTTAGGGAATAAGCTATTACCGTAGTACTCATGGTAAGACCTGGACGAGGGACCGATTTTTTTTTTCGTTTTGAGGTCCCTAGAGACCAAAAACACCATCCATTCAAATTCATATATATATATATATATATATATATATATATTTATATTTATATATTTATATATTTAATAAAATAATTATATAAAATAAAATAATTACTAAAAGGGTACTTTGTTATATATGTTTTAATTTTATTATATATTTATATATATATATATATATATATATATGTGTGTGTCCATTAGCACGATAACTTGAGCAAAAATGATCCGATTTTGATGAAATTTGGTACAAACGTGTAAACCTACGTTTATTCAAACGAGTTTGCGATTCAGCATGATCGGACCATGGGAACGGGGGTTTACGGGGGGTTTTATGGGGTAAAAATAGGTTTTTCCCATTTTTGACCCAAAAAACATAAAATTTAGCAATTTAATTTCTTTCCAAACCATTTTGTAGAGCTTAAAAAAACAAATAATTTAGTATATTGAAGCGTTATTATGCGCCTAATGGTTACGGATAAAATTCCAAAAAATTGTAAATTTAAAATTCCCATGTTATTCTTATGGAGAATAAGTAAACTGTTGTAGTTTGCTTGTTTATGAACATATTTTGATCAAATTTTGGAAAATGTTTTTATTTCTTACTATTAACATTTTACAAAAAAAAAAAAAAAAAAAAAAAAAAAAAAAAAAAAAAAAAAAACAGTTTTACCCTCCCTGATGCAAGTACTTGTTAAACTAATTCTATTTAAATAGGGAATAAATGTTATATTTTTAAGTAGACATTTCAGTGTAAATCCAATCAGTCAAATGGAAATTCGCTTAGTCTGCAGGTTTGCTGCGGCGGGGGGTATTTTATTTCTTAAGTCTCCCACGAGCAGTAAGACAAATTCTCAAATAGCAGCATAGGTCAAGTTTGGTATCAAATTAAAGGTCCTATTAAGTAAAACACATTGCCACAAACCCGAACTCAAATGGACAACTCAGTAAAAAATGTCAGCCGTTCAAATATTTCTTGAATCTATCATTTTGAATCTTTGAACTTCCATTTTTTACGTAGCTGTTATTTTTAGCTCAAATTTGCGACATTGTATTGAATAAAGACCTGTAATACGATGTGCAAATCGACCTATGCTTACGTTTATAATTTTCTTCAGACTTCTAGCGGGCGCCCCTCAGTATAATAATAAGCATTGAAAATTTAAAGAATCTTCGAACAGCTGTCATTTTTTACTCCATTGTCCGTTTGAGTTCGGATTTGTGGCATTGTGTTTTACAGACGTTCAATTTTATACCAAACTCGACCTATGCTGCTATTAAAGAATTTCATCATGGGACTCCTCATGGGCCTCGTGGGCTCATGGGTCCCCCTTAAGGGATAAAAAAGTAATAATAGCTTAAAAGAGAAGACATTTATGGCTATCATTGATTTACCAAGTTTAATTTCTTTATCTATAATAGTATAAAATATATTACACTGTTCTTGGACTTTTCAATCACACTGTATGTTTACCTCATATAAAACGCATGTCCATTCTAATAGTGTAGGCTACTGTGACAGTTTTATAGTATTGTTAGTTAACAATGTTGTCCTATCAGTTTGGCTTGATTAAAAAGTGTTCATATTTGACATAGGTCAGTAATTTACACCAGCACACCCTATCAGCTGTTCATTTTGAATATGTTAATTATCCATTCTAAAACTGACTACACCTTCAACATAGTTAGTTGAACCTTAGACATTCCGTCCCCATGTTAAAGCTGTAGCCAGTTTTTTTATCAAAATCGTAGTAGTTGATGTGAGCCACCGGCACATTTTGCTGAAATAAATTACTAATTTCTGTTGAATACACACACTATTTTACCAAATCAAACTAATAGAATGACTTATTGTGAGCTATAGCAACTACTATGACCCATAAACTATGTCAGCAACAAAAAATGAGGTAGAAAATAGAATTTTAGACACTACTGCATTCTGTGATTGGCTCGCACAGATACATTCTTTTTTAGTAAAAAATTTGCGACAGCTGTTCCTTATAGATGGGATGTCTACTTCTGTATCCAATAGTCAATGGTTGAACTGTTTAGTTGTATTCACAATCAAAGCTTTATACCATGTTTTTGGCAAAGATAATCTTATGTGTGTCTAATCTGGGGTCCAGAGTCAAAAAGTGGGTTTTAATACAAAATTTGGTACTAAACTGTGCAGTTTTTATTTTTTCTACAGAAAGAAGGTATTTAATGAATTAATTTACATGAAGAAAATATAAACCTAAGTTACTAATTGTTTCTAGCCTACCAGACTGGTCTCGGTCAACCATATAAGAGCCAGTTCTGACCTTTGACTTCCTGCTGCTCTACATAGATAGCCTACATCCACTCTCTACCTGGACTGATGATCATTTTTAATTTTAAGATAATTTTTCAATCATTTTTGCCTCTGGATTGCGAATATACGATTGATATGTGAGGCCTTACCTTAGCAATCCTAATGTTGTCGATCCAACAAAATTGATTTCAAACCCGAAGGTTCATCATCAGTCGGGATTTAGGTTGAACAAATTTAAAAAGTTGTATCCACCTGAAGGGTTTGACACAATTTCTGACACAAATTCTAACTTGAATTTGTGTTTTAATTAGTGTTATTTTATCTTATAACACTTTGAGTATGAAATCAATTTCGTTGGATCAACAACATTAGGATTGCTAAGGTAAGACCTAATCTTATCAAAAGATAATTTGTGTTTCATAACTCATTCAAACTTGTATAACCTAAGTTATAGTAAATTTTTACAAACAATACCGGGTTGAAAAACTATTAAGCTGTTGTATATATAGTTATATTTTTTACTATTTTATCAAATTTTACTTTTTAATTCTACAATTTAACATAATGCATGACTGTTATATATCCCAAAAATCTATCTTTTATTTTAATATTAATCATATGACTGGAATAATTTAACATTGTAAATAATTCAATGTTTATCTTTCATTATTAAGAAATAAACATGTATCAAGAGTTGTGTTCATATATTTTGTATTAATTTGTATTTAATAATTTGGCGACGAGGAAGAAAATGACTGAAATACAAGACCTTATATCTACTTTGAACAATTTTATGACATTAATGACACAACATTCAATTAAACAGATAGAACACCCTAGATCAAAACATAGTACCAAAGACCTACTACAGAGCAATGCCTTGATGTTTGATGCTTATGATGAAAGTAAGGAAACGTTTGAAAGCTACACTCAGCGTTTAGAAATATTTTTTTAAATAAAAGGATTGACAGACAAGGATTCAGAGACAGAACAATTGAAAGGTTTATTTTTAATCAATTGCTTAGGTGCTAAGCACTACAATCTGATCTGTAGTCTAACATCTCCAGACAAACCAGACTCAAAAACATATCAAGAGTTACTGATATTACTAAATGAGCACCTAAGCCCAAAGAAGAACATACTTACAGAACAGCACAAATACTTATCTCGTTTACAAGATGGAAATGAATCAATCACAAATTATGTTACAGACCTCAAACAACTGGCTTGTTCAGCAGATTTCAAATCTGGGTGTAATGAAGGAAAATGTACAAAATCAGTTATAAATCTTATGCTCAGGGCTCAACTCATTAGAGGTTTATATGACTCAGACATCAGAGAAAAACTCTTACAACTGGGTGAAATATCATTTGAAAAAGCCTTAGAAATCGCCTTGCCTATAGAGGCATCAAACCTTGACAATCAGATTTTATATACTAATAATAATCAGAATGACATTCACAAAATCAGTAAAACAACAAAGAACAAAATTGGACCTAAAAACAAAAATTTATCAACCAAAAACTATTTCTCTAATGACTTCTCCAGCAAAAAGAATGACAACAAAAACAAAAGGCTACAAAGACTGGGATTTTCAGATGTCTGTTTGCACTGTGGAAGGAATAACCATGAAACACAAAATTGCCGATTGATAGATGAGCTAAATTGCAGGTATTGTCATAAAGATGGACACATAGAAAAGGTTTGTATAGCGAAACGAATACAGGAATTACAGTATTCAAAGATAAATGTAAAAAGAATTGATGAAATTGATTCTGAATATGAATACGACGTCCAACAGATCATAAATGTATTGATGAATGACGAAGGAGATGACAGAATGATTATAAACGTATCTCTAAACGGTAAACAGCAACGTTTCGAGTGTGATTCTGGAAGTCGTGTTAGCATAATAAACAATGATGACTTCAAGAAACTAGACTTACATGTTCCAGTTTGCAAAACAAGTGCTCTTTTTCGATCTTATACTGGACAAATATTCAAACCAATCGGGGTCTGTGCCCTAAGCATATCTTACGAAGGGAGATCTTGCAGAGAAGATCTATACATTGTAAATCTACCTAAAAACGCTATTCTTGGAAGGGATTGGATTCGAAAATTGAAAATTAACTTACACAATATTAATCTTGTTAGTATGAAGAAACCAGAGGTTGATACCAACACTGTTGTCAAATCCATCAAGCAAAGATTTTCAAGCGTTTTTTAACAATGTATT